ATTACCAAAATGAGCAATTACATTTTTATAATTAAAGCTGTCAAAACATGAGGACTAACTGTTTTCTTCCCGGCTTGATGACTTATTTGTCCCCCCCGTCTGCTCATTTCAGATACTTTCCTGCTCGAAGGCCACCTGTACGAGCAGTATTATGCACATTGGCAACGCGGCGGTGGAGGCCCGAAAACCGGATTTAATTCTAGAGCACGCCAAGGACTTCCTGGAGCAGTATTTCACCTCGATAAAGCGGTGGGTTCTCATATAAAAGTTTTATTATTTTACAAACTAATTTTAAAAATTTTAGACCGTTAAAAATGTTGATTATTGCTTTAAATTCAGTCTGAGATTGTATTTTTATAGCAAACAAAAATTAAATGTTTCTATATAAATTTGTCATTAATTAAACTCAAAGGGATTTTATGAGAATACAATTTATAATGGTTTTTGAAAATTAAGAATACTTCATTTTGTTATATTATTATTATTACTTATTATATTAACTACAAGGATACGTTTTTAAAAATACAAACGTCATTTTTATATTTCAAGCGCATTGTACCTTCAGTTACCTATTTAAAAATGAAACAGTACATTCGTGACTTATCTTATCTTTCATCTCGAATGTAGTACATCATCTACCGCCCACGAAACTCGGTGGAAACAGGTGCGCCAGAGCATTGAGACAAGTGGACATTATCAGCTAACCGAAACCGAACTAATTTATGGAGCCAAACTGGCCTGGCGCAATTCATCACGTTGCATTGGTCGCATACAATGGTCGAAGTTGCAGGTGGGTCGATTAAGAAATTGATTTATGAAAAAAATTAGAAAATTATATAAAAATATTTCGATTTTTCCAACTTGTTCCAAAGCAAAGTCTTCAACTTTTATTCATCAACCTTAGACACCCTCAATTTATCAGGATCTCAACGATTCATGACCTCTCGCATGCAAACCCTCGAAACGAGCTTTCATCATCCACAAAATATGATAACAATTCATCAAGGCATATTAGGCTTAAATGTGTGCAATTCAAAAAATTATATGGGTGAAATAAACGCTGGAGTAGTCAACCGAATTTGTCAGAGCACAAATCACAGACAAATATATGCGCCTCTGTCGGGCAACATTATTCTAGATTTATGCGTGTTTCGGGCAAATGACAAATGTCGAAGTGGAGAAGCCGAGTCGAAAAGAGAATAGGCAAAACAAAGCCAAAAATTTGAAATGCAAATCCTCGTAAATTTTAATTTACCCGAAAAAGAAATTTGGCCCAAGGCAGAGATTTATTCACATGCACCCGTATACTTATGCTCGTATACAAATTATAATGATCAGTAGTTGGCATGGCAAAATGGCTGTCCCAGCCTCTGTGAGTTTGCTTACTAATGTGTGAACTGATTTGCATTTCCGCCTGAGTGAATTGCGTGTGTGTGAATGGAAAACTTGAGAAGGCAAAGCTGATTTCCAAAGACAAGTAGTGAAAGGCGACACTACAACCACCTTCCACATATGCCATGCCAAATAAATAATATATCAACATATATGAATGTATTTGCAGGGGACTGTCAAATTCATTTACCTGAAATGCGAAGCGAATTCTTCCTTGGTTGCATATGTATTCAGAGATTTAATTCGAATAAAATACTAATTTAATAATGGTAGAGTAAAACTAGTGCTAGCTTCTAAATGAATCAAATTAACATTATGACACACTCCAATAAACATACTTTCATGGCTTTTTCCCTGCCAAAAATACACTTCGTTGATCGTATCCTTGGCATGTTTTCCATTGTATAATGTGAAGCCCTATAAACATTTTACATGATAATTTTCTTTTGTGCCCTGACTTTTCATTAAATTAAATAAAAAGTTGAGAAAAGTTATCCAATACCACTCAAACATGAAAAAAAGCAGCCAACTTTGCTTTAAATTAAATGAAGTATGTGTGGCAGAAGCACTTAAAAAGGGTTCAGTTTGGATCGTTTTGCAAACTTAATTAGGAAACTCGCTTTAAATTGGTAAACCCTCTACAAAAAAACATAACAAAACCCAACACAGCAGAAAATCGAATGAAAAGGGGTTTCTTGGCCAGAAATGAGTTTCAGTTTCGAGTGGCTCAAACATAGAAATCCCATAAAGCCAAATGTAAGCACTTTACTCTGGCCTAGACCCAAAAGGGGAAAAAGCCACAAAAACAGGTGTGAAAAACAACAATTGTAAGGGACCAGATAACAGAAGCGAAAATTGAGGAGGGAGTGTGACAGTTAAACAGAAATATTGCAAAAAATTCATTGAAGCGAAATAATTAAAAAAGGGTTTCGGTGTATGAACAAGTTGCGAACAACTCTCTTATACGAATGCGACCCAATGCTAGAAAAAAAAACAAATATAGAAGTAACATAGAAATTTATGTCACATTTATCATCCGCCCCGTTGGACGACGCAACAAAAACTGTTGGACAGCTTCAGGGCTTGGGGGCTGGCACCTAAAACTCATGAAAAAACAATTGTTTACACTTTTAGTTTTGTGTCTGCAAATTCTGTTGATATTTTTTCTAGTTGCTGCCAGCATTTGAATATTTTAGGTAATTTTAGCTCTGCGGGAATTGCGCTTTTTTCCGCTGGCATGACTTTTCTACATGTGCTTCCAAAGTGGAAAGTGATTCGTTCTTGACAGGCTGATATTTCTATAATTTATATGTATATTTTGCAGGTATTTGACTGTCGCTATGTGACAACAACCAGTGGCATGTTTGAAGCAATTTGCAACCACATTAAATATGCAACAAATAAAGGCAACCTGAGGTAATTGAAATTCTCTGTTAAGTGCTGGGGGAATTTATTATTGAACAGAAACTATTTTATAAACAAGGATTATTATAGAAAATAATGAATAATACTTACACACTTGACACTTAAGCAAAATAGAAATTTGTTTTTATTCACAATAGAATTATATAATGTGTGCTTAAATTAAAAACCATAAAAATAGAACAATACAAAATTATTACTAATATTTCGTTTGAGCAATTAACATACTCTGCATTTTATATTTCCGTGCAAAGCTTAATTTCAAGCTTATGGTAATAATGGCGAACAAACCATCTACGCTAATCGAATTAAGCCTCGAAATTGAAGCTGTACATAATTTTAAATATTTTCCTATGCTCTTTGGCACACACAATTTCCAATTTACAAATAATCTACTCGCTACGTGGCAGGCGTCACTTGGATGTTTGCGGAAAGTGATGGCCAAATTATGTTTTTGCCCTGCTAATTGGCTGAATTGAGAGGGTGAATGGAGAGGGGCCTGCTGCCAATTTGATTCTATGAATATTTCAAGCGCCATCCTTTCAACTTCCCCTTTTTGATCCGGTTGGTGTTGCACTTCTGACTTTGTACGCACATTAGGGCGTAAAACGCTTATGGCGGTTTGCAAAAGTTCCATTGAACTTTGTCGAACTTTAACGTTTTGTGCACACAAATTGTTTAGTGGGTTTGCCTGGCTAAAATAATTGATTTCAAAATTTCATCACTGCAGATCGGCTATTACGATATTTCCGCAACGCACAGATGCCAAGCATGATTATCGCATTTGGAATAGCCAATTGATATCATATGCCGGCTATAAGCAGGCGGATGGGAAAATCATTGGCGATCCCATGAATGCTGAGTTTACTGAGGTGAGTGATTTCTAAATAAATTGTATGTGACTGAATATTAAATTTGAAATAATAACTTGTAGGTTTATTTTGACTTTTCATTACCTGTTTATTTGATAGATTCGCAAATATTTACACCACGATCAAACGGCTCCCATTTATTCATGTGGTTCTGCGTAATCCAGCTATCAATTTACATATCATACATGCATAAATACATGTATTTTTTCTCAGCCATCACAATATTTACACGCATCAATTGCCTTTGCCTTTAAATCTGTCCCCGCCCTTTGACCCCCCCCAATTTCCATCAACCCGACGACCTTTTGTCGAACCAACAAGTTGGAAAAGCCCCAGAGCCCACAACAACGGCAATAGCAACGGTGGCAAGTTCGCTCTATAACTCGTTGTAATAAATCTCTTTTTAAATACGCAAAAACCGAACAAACAACAAAGCTGTCAATAAATACGAGCACAAATACGGTAGCAGATGTTTCCAGCGAGTGGGTGGAACATGTGCTATGGTGTGGGCTTGGGTTTGGGCTCGAAAGTTCCCATTCCGGCAATGATGTATATTTGCATATAAAACCAAGCCCCAAAGTATCTCCATTTATTTTTACACATGTCACTTTTATGTCCGCCACTGCCTGGCCTGGCCAGGCCCTATGCTGATTTTCGATTCCGATTCACATTTGTTTGATGTCCAATCCCATCCCTATCCATCAGGTCTGCACCAAGCTGGGCTGGAAGGGCAAGGGCGGCGAGTGGGACATCCTGCCGGTGGTGGTCTCGGCCAATGGTCACGATCCGGACTACTTCGATTACCCGCCCGAATTGATACTGGAAGTGCCGCTGACGCATCCCAAGTGAGTATACGTCCTTATGAAGGCTATAAAAGTAGTCAATAGAAATCTATAAGAGAACTCGAAACTAGCATACATTGTGTACAATGTAACATTCTTATCAATAATGGTATAACAAGTTATAGTTATTGTATTACCAAAAGCTGAATCAATAGACAGAGCAAACCAAATCTTTGTACACAAAATCACATAAATATTCATAAACAATATTTTCTATAGGAATTTTGGTTTCGTTTGTTTTTTGATTTGGTGGAACTCAGCCCTAACGAAACATTGACTTATAATTTGAGATTTTGTCTGATTTTAGATTTTTCACACAATTAAGTTGGCATTTTAACTGTTTGAAAATGAGATCTGATTTCAAATGTCCAAATCTTAAATTAGAAATCATAATGTCCAAAGAATAACATCTTTTAGAATACTTTTTACAATAACTTTGTAATTAAAATTGTCATTTTTGTTCTGGAAGTATTACTCAAATTTTGTAATTTGTAAGCCATATGAAGACGCCTAATAGTTGGCCACCCTGGCAAAACCAATCCGTTCGTTGCCTTTATCGAACTCCGTGTAGAACTTGCCAATGAACAAGTCACCCAGAATCCAGAACGAGATGCTGCCCATACTGGTGAAGCCGGACATGCAGTAGGTCACTCCATTCTGGGTCAGCTTGACGATGTAGTCCTTGGGGTTCAGGGTGAAGATGGTGCCGCCAATATTAAGGTTTATTTTGGGCAGGGATGCGATTCGGCTGCACCTCACGAACGCCTCTCCACCGCCATTATCCTCGGCGCCCAGCTGGCGATTGATCTTGGTGTAGGCCGCCTGGGGAACCACGATCAAGGAGGTTCCGGTGTCGGCAATCGCCTGGCATCCGTTGCACAGCACCACGCGGTTGACCTTGATCGAGTTCACCTTGAACTGCCAATAGGCCGGAACCGAAACGGGGACGTAGGTGAGACTGCCGACATACAGACTGGAGTCACTGCCTCCGAGGATCAGCTCTCCACCCTGCACCGCGGTGCCCTGGCGCTTCAGGTAGAACGACATGACGGGCTTGTCGAGCAGTCCCTGGGCAATCATGTTGTCCCACGGCGGAGTGACTCCGTCCACGGCGATCGCCTCGAAGGCCATTCCCAGGATTCCCGCAAATGGAGCATAGTCGAAGGTGGTTCCCGGCTCGTTGATGGCCTCGCCGAAGGTCTGGCCTTGGATGCTGACTCCTCCCACGGTCACAGTGTCAGTGGAGAGGAATCCCGAGAGACTGCCGGTTCCATATTCGATGGCGAACTCCGTATCATTCGCCACGTAGGTGCTGGATGCTTCCGATCGGTACTTGTTGTGCCTCTGGCAAGCGATGTTTGAGGACGAGCACTTGGCACTGGGAACCCACAAATTGGACGATCCCGTGTCGAACAGAATGTTGAACCGCTGCCCGGGGGTTCCGATTTCAATTACACCGTAGTACTCCTTGTTAAAAGAATTCTGAAGATTTTCAGTTTGCGACGAAGAAGAACTGGAACTGGAGCTGGTTGTGGCGTCCACCAAAAACGAGTACTTGGCCGCCAGGACGGCCTTCTCCACCTTCACATTTCCGTGGCTCTTGGTAAAGTTACCATTCGAGTGGAGCCGCAAGCGATTCAGCTTGGCAGCGGAATAACCAATCCCGATCAGCACCAACAAAACGAACAACTGTCTCATGTCTGCGGCTAGAATTCGACTGTGACTTCGTCTCAAAAGTGTGCGGAATTTAAATAGTTTCGCCTTTCCATATTTGACTGCCTGCTCTGGTCCAAAATTGGCGCCAAAACTTTCCATTTGCTAAAGAGTTCTGGATTCCAATGACGTCTACTGGTTTATTTGACACACATAAGTAGGTTTAGAAACAAGAGAACTGAAAAAATATTTGATATTCGTTTTAGTCATCGTTCGTTATGTCAGCTGTGTAGACAAGATGTGTTTGAACAGAAGAGGCAAATGCCTGATTATTTAAATTAAACCATAAAACATTCACATAAAGATCCTTTTCAAAACTACAGTTAAAATAGGTAGGTAGATAAATCGAACTTAAATACCGGTCCTAATTATAATTTACCATATAGGTAAAGTCCTTTACCAATTTGTTTGTGAGCTTCCTTTTAATTTGATAAAACAAACACAATTTATTTTTCACGGTACTCGCTCGTATTAGGTCAATAAAATTATTTACTTGCCGAAATCAAAAAATACTTATCTGTTTTTAATTAAAGAGCTTAATTTGTAACAAAAATATTAACATGAAATAGTTTCTGAAATATATGCTTTTAATTTAAAAAAAAAAACATTTAAAAAGTCAAAGTAAGTTTAAAAGTCAAGGCAATTAAAATGTTTACACAACTGCCATAGTTTTATTAATTTTACACAAAAAGTGTAAAATTGGTTTAAGTACTATATACATTATGAAATCGGTTTTTTTATAAGACTAAGAGAATACCGAAATGTTTAGATACCCAGAGCGCTTAGCTTTAAGCCAATGTCCGTCGAACATTGACCGTATAAGCCATGGCATGTATACCCAAGGATTTGCATCCACAATCGCGGCCTGTGGCAGTGCTTGCCCAGAGTGTCATTCGAACTGGCCAAATAAAACCACCCACTCCTCCGCTCCCGTTGCAGATTCGATTGGTTCGTGGAGCTGGGACTGCGATGGTATGCTCTGCCCGCCGTTTCCGGGATGCTGTTCGATGTGGGCGGCATCCAGTTTACGGCCACCACATTCAGCGGCTGGTACATGTCCACGGAGATTGGCAGCCGGAATTTATGCGACACAAATCGCCGCAATATGTTGGAGGTAAGTTGGAGTAAAAAGACGTATATAGTAATTTCTGTATTGATATCCGCCCCCTGACATTGTCCTTGCCTGACGTCCTTGATGTCTTTGTCGCTGTATCGCGATGTGGCGCTTATTTCATTATAAGGCCGCATAATGTGCGGAGGAGACAGGGACTGCCGCCTTTTCCATTCTTGCTGTCCTCGCATAAAGCGCTTTTTTCTGGGCCGGCATTCTTTTAACCCACCAGCAATGTGCCATTGGCTGTGGGTGTGGGTGGTGGGTGGTGGGTGTAAACTGGTTAACAGCACTTAAGAAGGGCGGCGCTTTAAGGCCGGAATAAAGTTTCCATGGGGGAATTATTATCACAGACTGAAATGTAGAGTACTTTCATACATGATATACCTTAATATAACTTGCAACTAAACACATTAGCACTGCAGTTAAGAGTCGATCGATCTCCTCCGGCTAATTAGTTTTTCAGCAGCACGAATATGCCATAGCCCTTCTCTGGAAATCGAGCTACATTTTATGACATCGATGCATTTCCAACCTTGCACCTACACTTGTATAGGTACACAAAAGTCTTTCCAAGTTATGAAAATTTAATAGCTTTCTCCTCTTTAAAATATTTTGAGTGGAAATTAATTTTATGGTTTCGAAAAACAGAGATCTGTAAAATCTTATTTCACTTGCTTTAAAATTATATTATTTATTTATAATTATAAATTTTAAATTTGGTATATTTTTTAAAAAGTGAAATAATTGTACCAGCCTTTTTCATGGGAGAATTTTAAAAATAAAGTTCTGTTTGGCAATTAAGGACTACTCTCAACTCGAAATATTTGAAGCAATTAAAATATTTTCTTTAGTGGAAAGTAGATATGAAATTATGTTTTATGATAAAGTATAAAGTAGTTTTCACACTTCCAATCAAAAGCTGTATTTTTAAAAATTTTTAATAGTTCAAAAAATATTATTATTGCCAATAAACTCCACTTCCTCCCACTATATTTCAAATAATTCGAATATGATATTTGCGGACTAGCTTATACTCATATTTCAGTGTGAAATACGGGTGCAATGACAAGCATTTCCCATTAAATTTGTGGTATTTGTCATCATCAAAGCCATTCATTTGCAAGAGTCAGCCACTGTTTTGGCTCCACTCATGACATCCGATGGCCTGTGGCCAAATCCATAATTGACGTTCGGTGTGGCTTCTGACGGGTGCGAGGAAAGTGGTAGAGGCTTCGGGCCACTTGTTGGGCCCAGGCTTTTAAAGGCCACCACAGTTGTTAGTAATTATTAAATTCTGGCCACAAAACCGTAAATTGTAATCGAAATTCATCAACGTCATTCGATTAGACCGAGTAACCACTACCGATTAGGCGCACTATCGAAATTGATTTTTAACTCACCGCAGACAGTGGCGCTGAAAATGAATCTGGACACCAGGACACCCACATCCCTGTGGAAGGACAAGGCCGTCGTCGAGATGAACATCGCCGTACTGCACTCCTACCAGAGTCGCAATGTGACCATTGTGGATCACCACACGGCCAGTGAAAGTTTCATGAAGCATTTCGAGAACGAGTCCAAGCTGAGGTGAGTCCCCCGATCGCCGATTATATCCATATCCTGTGTGTTTGTTTACTGCCGCGTTGGGCTCGCATTTATGACACATCCCAGCCGCATGTTTATGGCTTAACGTGTTTTATTTGACTTTCGCCGGCGGGGTAGAGTGTGCGGAAAACTCTTTGCAGGTGCGAAAGTAAATTTATTGTTTCCAATTTGCTGTCGCCAGCGTTTATGTAAAGTGCACGCGAGACACATAAATGCCGCACAATATGTCAAACTTTTACTCCCTCCATTTGCAAAAGAGCAGAAGCCCCTTTTCGCGGAGATAAATGTGTCACTTTCTGTTTTTTTGCGAAAAGAGTTTACTTTCTTTGTGCAGGATAAAGCGTTTTTTTATTATATTTGTATCAATTAGGTTTTAAGTCATTGCTTATTACCAGTTTTATTAGTCGCAGACAATAAAAAACAACTGAATATTTGTTAGCTTTTATTTTTAAATACAAATGGTTCTGTTACTTAATATAAAATCCGTATATAATTAATGCAAATTTTTTGACTGAGTGTCACAAAAATATATTTTCTTATTTACAAAATTTGGGAATGAAATATAGGATTAAAGTTTAGTTGAGGGTACAAAAATGTGCAAAGAAAATATACAAAAATTATACTATAAATTAAGAAAATTTTATTAAACTTCTGCCTTTAAGTGGTTAGCCTTAACCTACTTTCCATTTACTAGATTGTGACCCAAAATTGCTTACTTTTGGGTATTTTTAAACTCCCAAACCACCTTAAACCGACACCTTGGCAAGTCACTAAATCAAAATCGTAAGCCACGTGTCTATTTTTATGGCAACAGCAGGCAGGGCAGCCACAATTAAGTCACTTAATGGTAATCTCCCATTTGGGGCACTAAAAATACAAATGGCCATATTTCAAATGCTGGGCGAAATGAATGCAAAGGATTCCGCCTCTGCCACCGCCACCCACTCGTCAATTATAAGCAATTACTTACGAACCGTTGGGAATCGTCTTTCCGCAGGAACGGCTGTCCCGCTGATTGGATTTGGATCGTGCCGCCTCTGTCGGGCTCCATCACGCCGGTGTTCCACCAGGAGATGGCCCTGTACTACCTGAAGCCCTCGTTCGAGTACCAGGATCCCGCCTGGCGCACTCACGTCTGGAAGAAGGGGCGTGGCGAGAGCAAGGGCAAGAAGCCAAGACGTAAATTCAATTTTAAACAAATCGCTAGGTAAGTACTTACAGCAGCGCTTACCGTTAACGTGGCGACCTTTGGTGGAGCTCGCACCCCCCTCCCCCCACCTCGTTATCCTTTCCGGCTGATGATGATGTTGATACTCGCATCCTTGCCCGTGTAATTGTGCCCGTGTGTTCGGTCGTTTTGCGAGCGTGTCACACGAGAGCATCAGCAGGGATTAGCTTTTAAGTAGATTACATGGATTGTGGTTTATTGCCACGGGGCGACTCCTCCACTGCTCCTATGTATATCCTTCATCCTACATCCTACTGTCCTACTGTTATCAAGTCGCATGGAAAATTTGGTACATTGCATCAAGTCTGTTGTGCCCGTTATTGTTATTTTAAATGTTATTTGCCGGATACTGCTCCGCCCTTTCTATCTGGAATCTCCCGTCGAGTTAGCAGCGTATGTGTGGTTGGAGTTGATTGTTATGCAAATTTGACGTCCTTATTTTATTCGAGGTGAAATTTGAGACGTTTATAAGTTTGGCAAGATAAATTCGTCAGGGTTTACTTTAAAAGAGAATAGGTTGCAACCAAATTAAAGGGAGAATTTAAACTTTCTAGGCTCCAAACTTACTAGAAAATACAAACAAGGCAACCTAAGATAATAAAACAGATTTAATAGATATTTTCGTTAGTGGAGCCTGATTAATTTTGACTCTTCTTTATAGCAAGAAATTTAACTAGGTAAAATAAATTTAAATTTAATTAGTTTCATTAAAGGCTTTAGTGTGGAATTTAAGAGGTTTATTAAAGTTATTACCATTTGACTGTATCTATGCCAAATAAATATTCTTCAACAGCTTAAGTTTCTTTGGCTCTCAAAAAAATAAAAAAATTTTGAATAATAATAGGATGTGTTTATGCAACCACGTGTTATGTGTTAACTTTAGGTGGCTAATATACTGTGAAATAGGTGAAAAACGCTTAATTAAGTCAGAAATCAATCTGTGAACAAATGTAAAAACAAAGCAGAAGCTATTAGTTACCATAAGCTTATGCAAATTTGCGGCAATTATACGCCCAACAATGACAGCTTGGCATTTAATCCATA